TAAACTTAATGTAGAATTATGTCGTGTTAGAAAGAATTTATGAAATTTTTATTGGTCAACTTTTTTTTTAAAACAAAAAAAAAATTTACAGACCAGGTCGAGTCATGTAAATAAACGAAATAACTTTGTACGGTCTTATTAATAATTATCTAAAAAATTTTTATTATTTATATTACATCTGATTTTTGTTCAAATCTTTTTCAGTCGTTTAGCCAAAAAATGAACGATCCATGCTTGCCATTGATACGTTTATTGTTCCATCGGATAATGAATGAATGTCATCGATTCATCATCTAGAAACTCAGAACCGCTTTCCAAGCGACGAACAACTTTACCAGGCATTGGCAAGTTTGATCCTATTATATAAACCATTTCCCTAAGAGTGTCCATCTCGAATCGGTCTACACAATCTTCTATAATCTTAAAAACATTAATTATAATTAAAATATGGTTAATTTATTCGGATCCACTTCGTAAGAATAAAAAATAACATTACCAATTCCAATTCAGCAACACTTTGGGGTCTTAAATTAATGAGTTGCAGTTTTTCTGATTTGGTGAGATTATATTTTTTAAGATGATCTAAAGTTGTTTCAATTTGTTCAGGTGTTTGAGTTGATGCAGGGGATTGTGATGATGACAAATTTTGAATGACCTTGTTGACAATGAAAGGTTGTTATCGAAATAATTTACTCTAATCAAATCATCACATGATGACTCTTTAACAAACAATTCACAAGAAACCACACGATAAGCCTACTTCGAATTGTATTGTCTTTAAACTTTCGGCGAACTTGACGTTCGGATCGATTTTAGCTTGTTCTCGTTGCTTTTCGTCCATTTCTCTAAGAAGTACCAACACTTCATAATTTGAAAGCATCGCGTTACGTTTGTCGATGATCTTGAACAATTCAAATTTCAAATCAGAAAGGATTGATTTTAGTAAATTTTTTTTTTTTAATCAACCATCTTAAAGTCAGGAACAATGATTTTCTGCGGTGATAAATTGTCGATTCCGTCCGCCATAATTGTTGATTCCATTCATGAAGAAATCAAATTCTGCAAAATTCTGTGAATTAAAATTTAAGAATTCTAAACTTTGATTATATAGAAACTCGAACATTCTGCAACCAAATTATTGCTTATTCTTCGGATTGTTTCAAAATTTAAGCTCGACCGCGCTCGTCTTTTAGATTCATTTACTTTCTACATTGAGACTTTTCAGAATATATAGTTTTGGGACTATATACTTATAAATCTCTACTTTCATGATATTTCCGTGCTGTGAATTCTGCGAATTCCGTGAAATTCAGAAAATCATCGTCCTTGTTTAAAGTGCTAACCTGCATAATGATTTTGTAGTAACAAATTTCTTTTGTCATTGTATTTTCCAGTTTTCCATATTTATAAACTGTGTTGTACTACAATTACTGCAGATCATGAGTTAAATCTACACGCGTTATCTGTTATACAGTTATAGCTTTTTTCAACGCGTTCACTTTATATTGTTTTCAAATCGTTAGCAATCATTTTATTTAATGAAAAATGGAGTATGGTAGCAGTAGTGAAATGTGGTGTTTTCCTATATTAAAGGACGCAGAGATTGAAGAATTTTTTCATGAACTTTCGGTAGATTTTACTGCTCAAGATATGAAAAAGCCTACTACAGCTCGCATATTCATTGCTTACGGCTTCATAGTGGAGTACATTATCGGTGCAACAGCAGAAGACTGGGGTGACACTGATTGGTCTAGTCATCTAGAAATGCGTTTGCGTAAAAGAATTCCAGGTTACGACAGACCGGTATGTTGTGCAATTTTAATTCCATTTTATTTTTAATTATAAAATTCAAATTTCGGTCAATAAAAAATCATTTCTTGAATATTTTATAGGAATTTTATTCTGAATCAATGAAAATGATGGCTATTTACAAACGAATGTAAATATTATATAACTGATACCATTTTTACATTTAGTTCTTTAAATAATATTTGCTTTTACTTTATAGGAAAAAAGTTATGGTAGCCATAGGAATGGACCAATTTTCATTTTATGATGTTCTTAGACCAGAGGTATCTCGACTTCGCATATTTCTTAGTGCTGCTATTAATTTTATAAGATTTCGTGAAGATCAATTGCACATTTTCAACGAATATGAAAAACATTCGGTAAGACTTATAATCTATTTTTTTTTTTTTAGAACCTTTTAATTAAGAGTTAAATCTAATATTCACTTTAAATTTTATAAAGGAGGAGCTCATGAAACACAATGAAGAGTTGTCGGAACGATATAAAATGCTTTTCGAACAAGTTGAAAGATCAAAGTCAGTTGAATTTTTTATTTTATTTTTTTTACATATGAAATTTATCTCCGAATTATTTAAACAAATAGGAGAAAACGCATCGAAGATGAAAATATAGTTAAAGAACTTGTGCAAGAAAATGCTCACCTTATGAGCAGCATGCGTGAGTTGAAAAAGAAACAAACGGGCCTATTGAATGAGATAGCATCTTTAAAAAGTACAAAGGCGGAAGCAGAAGAAAAGATAGTAAGTATTATGTAACATATATATTTACAAATAAGTCAATGTTTTATCGCATTAAATTGAATTTTCATTCATGTTTCACAGAATAATACACAGTTTTTGGTGGTAACTGCAAAACAAGTTCTTGAGAAGCTTAAGAGTCGAATCGTAGTAAACCCTGAAAAGTTGAAACAGGTTGAAATTGGTGTTCATAATTCAAAAAAAAAAAAAAAAAAAGTTAAATCCTAAATTAAGCAAATTATTTTCTTTCTAGACAATTGAAGAGATGAATCAGACCATGTCAAAAGAAAAGGACGCGATGCTTGGACTCGGTAAAAAGGTCCGTGAAATTCAAGCAAAGGTCGAAAATTTGTCCATTGTGGAAGAGGTAAATGATTTTTTTTTTTGCATATCTTGTGCCAAATATTCCCATAGAAAATAGTGTACTTAAAAAATAACTCAAATTTAGGAAATATCGGCTTGCAATAAGATATTAGATGAAGTAATAAATCAACGTAATAAGTGTGAAAAAGCGAATAAAGACTTGCGGGATCTTCAGGAAGAAATTGAAAATAAACGTCAGCATTCACGTGAGTTACAAAAGAAGGAACAAGTAAGTAGAATTTTTAATTCGTTTTCAGTTCGATAAAATTATTCAGAAAATATGTAATCAATTTATTTAATACCTATTTTACTGTGATATTACAAGTTGCTGTCTCGACAAAAGCAAAACTTGGAAGATAGGCTTCAGCGCCAAAGGGAAAAACATAAACAAAGAGTTACAGAAACTGAAAAAAAAATCGAAGCATTGCAAGCAGAGTATGACCGAATTTTAGAGGAACGCAAGGATTCTGAAAATAAAGCAGCACAGCAAAAGAAAATTTATGATGAAATGTCAGCAAAAGTAAGGATATTATTAAAAATATTGGCAATTGATAATTTGTGAAACAATTATAAGCATTTTAACACCATATTTTGTTTTAGTGCACGGACTTATTTCAATCATGGAATAAAGAAAAGGCTGAAATTGAGTCCGAGTTCAAGACTCTTAAAGATAGAATAGAAGGATATCATCAAGAAATTTTATTGACTGTACAAATGCAAAAATTTAATTAAAAACAATAAAAATATTTAGTTTCCTTTGTCTGCTATAAAATATAGATATAATTTATTAAAATAAAAAAAAAACTCGATTTTTATTTGTATTATGCTATTTTTGTATATTTGTAATTCTTTTATAACTGCTGTTGTGAGAATGCACCGTTTTACTTTTCATCAATTTTCTTTTTATTCACTTGAACTGGAATTTATGTTCTTTTACAGAATCGTAATTTATATACTGATATAGTAATCTTCCTGTAAATTATTGCCGGCTTCTCTGATTGCAAATCAAATTTACTAACTATAAATTAAGTGTATAATGCAGTAATGATTTAATTAAGGGATCAGCAAGCTACATCACATATGAAATTATAGGACTATCTAACACTTGTATCTTAAAATATAAATGATATAAGTATAAATTATTGGGCAAAAATTTGTGAATAACGGCTTGTCTCCAACCGGGAAATGATTGGCTTACAAATGCCGCCAAGCGGGCCGTGGCCTACAATCAATTTTTCGGGTGGGGCAAAAT